CACCACCACCATCACCACCACCACCACCATCACCATCATCACCACCACCACCTTCATCACCACCACGATCACCACCACCATTAACTGCAGGGTTTAGGTGTTTTGCTTGTTCCGATCTTCGAGTTAGACCAGAGATTATCAAAGTTTGGGGCGCGACCCCCCGAGGGGGTGCAATAGGTTTACGGAGCGGGGGGTTGGGGGCGTGTTGTTAGGATGGAAAACTGTTTTCAGCGAAATATGGAGAAACTTTTTTTAAATCCTTTGCTTCGTTGAGGCTGTCATATAATACAGTAAAATTCAAACTCTTAACGCATCTGCGGTTTTAGGAAATAAACGGCAATACAAGTCTCCGCATTGTTAAGGACCCAGCTTTGGATCCCTGTGAGAAATGCTAGCAAATTTAATGTTAAACCAACTCACTCCGCTGTTGTTAAGTGCACGAGAAATCTGCTAAACCCCTCAAGTTGGCCACTTGCACCCCTAATTTTCTCCAACATCTAGGGCCGGAAAGCTGAGCCCCGAGCAATACAACTGTTGTCACAAACCTTGTGAAGCCACCATATTCATTGTTAGTGTAACTTACAGAGTAAAGATATTCATATCGTAGATATTCTTCAGTGGTAGATTTTGTAGTGTTAAGACGCAGAAATACTTGAGCGATAGAATACGATGTGTTAACATGTAAACAATTTAGTTCAATAGTGTACCGATGTAGAACATAAATCCCGTAGTACGTATTTACCACGTGTAATCGTTACAGTCCAATATCGATCACCAATAAGTGGTGTTCTACGAATCACAGAATAATGCATAGATTTTTGACGGGTATAAACAGAAAACCGGGGCACACGGTAGTGTAGTTGGTTTAGGCACTATGCTACAAGCCGGAAGGTCGCGGGTTAGAGTCCCAGTGAGGTGGATTTTTTTTTCAATTTACCTAATCCTTCCAGTCGAACTGGGGTCGACTCAATCTCTATGATAAATGAGTACCTTGGGGTAAAGGGCGGCCGGCGCGTAAGGCTGACAACCTTACCGTCATCTGTGAGCCGAGTGTCTAGAAAATGTGGGCGTCTCAACTTCTCACAACCCTATGGGCCTCCAAGGCCTGTTACAGGGATAGCTTTATAAAGAGAAATCCAGATTACCAATCTATAGCAAATAGTAGCCGTAGTCATAATTCGAAACCGAAATCGAATAAGTTCGATGAATCGATTTGTCTTTCAGCTTCACGAGTGTTATAATCAAAAGTGAAGAAGGACCTCTATGTGTTTTGTGTCTCGGTATCTTAGCAGCTGACAGTATGAAATAAATTGAAGCGGGACCCTGAAATGAAACATTCAGAAATAAAATACAAGCCCGAAAAATACTTCCACAGAAAACTTGATTAAATTGGCATCCAGCAAAATTTCATTAACACTGTTTCTGCGTCATGCAGAATAGCACAGAACAAGAAGTCACACATGTTCGCTGAAACTGTGATACTCCCTGCTGTGCTGCGATAGACGTGGTAAAATAATGTTCGGTGGAAAACGTGCTCAGCAGCTTCGTAATATACCACTATCTAATGACAAGGTCTCTCGAAGGATTTCTGATATATCAGAAGACGTAAAAGGACAGCTGATAGAGAAGTTGAGAAAGAAACGTTTTTCAATACAGATTGATGAAGCTACTGACTATAGCTGTATTAATCACTTGATATCTTGAAGATACAACAATTAATGGAGACTTGCTTTTCTGTAAACCTATAAATTGAAGATGAAGGGCAAGAGCAAAATAACTCTTCAAAATTTTAGATAATTTCATGAAAGAGAAAAGCATCAGATGGCTGGAGTGTGTTGGAGTATGCATGAATGCAGCTCATGTAATGACGGAAATAAAGATATGACCGCAGGCCTTAATTATGTAGTTAGGGCCAGAAGCTATGCGGACACACTGTATGGTACATCGTGAACGCTGATTGCTAACTATAATTATACCCAGAACTGAGTGACGTGATGGATACAGTGACCACAACTGTAAACTATATTGAAAATGAGACTTTTTGAAGAATTATGCGGAAAAATGACGGCACGGTATCAATCATTTCTGTTTTGCTGAAATTCTTGTTGGATTTCAGGAGAGAATGTTGTGTCTCGTGTTTACAACTTGCGAGAAGGAGTAGCACTGTTTCTAGAAGAGGAAAATCTAGTACATGCTGAACATTTTCGCAAAGAACGTTTTTTTTCTAAGTTAGTATACTTAAGTGATATTTTCGAGAAGTTAAATACACTGAACCCAAGTATGCAAGAGAGCGATACTAACATCATCGTAATGACTAGCAAAGTGAATGCATTTATTGGGAAGTTGGGCTTCTTGGTCAGAAAACTAGAAAGGAAATTTCTGGACGTTTTCTTGTGTGAAGGGAATTTATGGAAACAAATGATGCTGGAATTGATCAATTTACGAAAAATTACTTGATTAATCTACAGTCCAGATTTTCTAAGTACTTTCCAGAAGCGACAAGTGATAAAATGGATCACGGATCCATTCCATGCTCCAAAATTACAACTTTCCTCTATTGAAGAAGGAAACTATATTGGCATTATATCTCACACTTGCTTAAAATTTCAGTTTCATGGAAAGTCCTGCATAGAATTTTGGGTGGGCATTGAAGAGGAGTTCCCTCACCTCAGCAGGGAAGCTTCGAACATTCTCCTACTTTCCGCAACTTCCTAGCTGTGCGAGACTGGATTTCCAGCAGTGGCAGCCGTCAGAACAAAGTATCCTTCTGTGATGAACCTGGAACCGACTTCAGAGCTGCCATTTCGAAACTCCAACCTCGGTATGATGTCGTGTTTTTTTAATTCGCTTAGTGGGAGAGGGGGTGGGGTGGAGTCCAACTGGGTCCACTCGGCACGTCGGCCACTGATTGTCCTATTGTAGCCTGCCCCTGGTGATTATGATAATGGAGAATTTGGTGGAATAAAGATTGGCAAGGGAAACCGAAGTGCTCGGAGAAAACCCGTCCCAGCGCCACTTTGTCCACCACAAATCCAACTTGACCAGACCCGGGATCGAGACCGGGCCGCCGCGGTGGGAAGCCAGCGACTAACCGCTTGATCTATGGCGCTGCCTTATGATGTCGTGTTCAAAAAGGGAAACACATCCGTTCCACTAATTCAGGCATAAAGCGTATATTTTAATTCAGTCCTTTAAAAAAAATTATCTGAACGATATGCAGTAAGTTGTAAAATATATGTACCTGTAGTTAACTATGTTTGCACTTGTAATATCTGAGGTGTTCACGTCTGTGACAATGAAGAATGCCGTCTTCTGGGATGTGGGGCCGTGTAGACCATGTCGAACCGACGTTTCGGAGGAATGTGCAGTCTGCAGCCATCAGTTCACGTTGGTTCCTCGCTAGTGGATTTTTCTACCCTCAAGATGGAGACGATACGTTTTTCCGAAACGTCTTTTCACACAAGATCTACACTGCGCCACATCCCAGAAGATGTCATTCTTCCTCTTTGCACTTGTTTTGGAAGTGAGGTGCAGCATACAAAAGTTTGGGAATCTCTGACCTAGACGAATTGACTTTGGAGGCCCGCCTCTCTTTTTTCTTCATTAGAATGATAGTCAGTCAATTTCCATCTTGGTCGCGCCATAGCTCAAGCGGTTAGTCGCTGGCTTCCCACCGGGGTCGCAGCGGCCCGGGTTCGATCCCGGGTCTGGTCAAGTGGAATTTGTGGTGGACAAAGTGGCGCTGGGGCAGGTTTTCTCCGAGTACTTCGGTTTCCCCTGCCAATCTTCATTCCACCAATTGCTCCACAATCACCCTCACCTATCATCTGGGGCTGGTACAATAGGCCAGAAGTGGCCGCAGTACAAGGGACTTAGTCCCACCCCACTAGCAATAAAAAATTAACCAGTTTCCTACGAATTCGATTAGTTGCCTTCTCTACAAAATATTATAAGTAATTCTGTTGGTTTACTGTTTCTTCTAAACCAATTATACTTACTTATTTTCTAATCCATAGTTTTTTTTTATTCTCGTAGCCTGCCACCAATCTCAGGAAACTTAGGGCGATATCGCACCAGGATGCCATGGCGTCCAGCTGCCAGATGGTAGGTACTGAATTTCAATTATAAACCTTTTGGTGTCTAAATTGGACATGTTTGAAAGAAACAGAAATACACACAAGCACATATACACGCACGGACGTCACTGGACTGGCCTCAGACTGTCATGTGATGTTGATCTGGCCTTTGCTTTCGTGGCAGCGATGCCAGCAGCATTAGCACTTGGCATCTTGGTTGGCAGCGATGCCAAGTTGGAAGAGCTGCCAGACAGATGCCAGGTGCGACATATGACTACTAAATTAATACATTGAGTTTGGCCGAGATGCTGGAAGCTGCGCCATGGCCTCCCGTTGGCATCCTAGTACGATACCGCCCTTATAATTAAATTCCTGCACTCACTGTCATTTAAGTGATGTGGTGCTCCTAGAACTTCATAGAATTTTAAGATTGTTTCATGTTAAGTTTTCTTGAAGAATGTGCATTTAATTCTTTCACAGAGATAATGAAATCCTTGTAGTTTATTTTGTAGACAATTTCTATTGCTGTCCAGGAGACATCCAAGATAATTAAAGATTGTAACTTGCTCTGTTATGGTATTGTTTATCATTATTCTGGATTTTAGTAATTCTTTCCCTTTAAGGGACACAATTTTTTTTAACTATAGAAATACCGTATTTACGCATGTATAGGCCGCACATTTTTTGCCAAAAATTCAAGAGGAAAACTGGGGTGCGGCTTATATTCGAAATATTCGAAATCACACTTCATTTAAAAAATTATATTCATAATTAGTAATACAGGGTGTAATACTCCTGAAATAATATTCCAAGAAAATTATTTTTTCTATAATTTATGTCTGAAAATGGTGCTGCGGCCTATACATGCGTAAATACGGTAATCAAATTATACTCCAAGGCAGTGTTTTCTGTAATTGTTTAAAGTACTTACTGTGAACAATACTCTAAATTTACGCATCTCCGTAAATGCTAGCTGGCACCTGACAGCAAATTTCTGGAGCTGCCACTTATAACTTGTATTCTCTCACCAGCGAATTCATTATTTATGCTAACTACATATCTTCCTCCAAAGTCTCGACTATTACATAGTTTTATCCTCACATAATCGTATCAGTGAGCATTAATGATCCTCCCGCTCTATCTTCCTGCTGGTACGGAGTTTGCGCTTAAAAATTAGGCCATTGTCATGAAATTCGATTATGAGATCTTATCTAACATGCATTTCAACCTGGATAAGTCATTGGACTATTCAAATAATGGCCTTCACATCTGACAAGACACATATTGAAACTTTACTTTGCATTGGAATTGCCTGTCTTCTATTCCATTCCGTGTTGTTGCCTTCCTTCATATATTATTGCTTTCACACCATTGCACCACAATTATTAAGGAAGCAATAATTATAAACATCTCTATTCTAGACAAGACATTACTGTAAATATATTTCGTTAACACAGGGATATAGTATCAAACGAATATTAAACCAGAATATTCATCTCCATCATCGCAACAGCCCACTATTGGACCTTGTTCTGAACCGGTTAAGTCCAATTTATGTTTTAACTACTCATGTGGTTAAGATATGAGCCTGAATATGTAAGTTGCTATAGGAATAGGCTATGGGCTGGACGGGGTTCTATTCATGGCAGAGATCTTTCTCTTCTCCATATCGTCCGGACCGGCTCTGGGGCCCACCCTGCCTCATGTACAATGGATATCGGGAGGGGAGGGGAGGTCATGTTCCCCCCCTATACCTTCATGGTGAAAATCTTTTATTTATGTAGATATAAACATATCATTTTCACGGCGAAATCTTTATATTATTTCAACTTTAAAATTCATGGTTTTGTAACTATTGACTAAATTTCATTCTCACTGCGTTCAGAATTCTTAAAATATTTCCTTTAGCATTCGGATGGTCCACCAAAGAATACCCACCAGTAAATGGTTTGTACCCCCCCACCCCCACCCACATAATGCAGCAGAAAGAATTAGGCCAATTGAAAAGAATCCAATGACCTCATAGGGACTTGAACCCGCGACATTACTGACGAATGTAAAAAAGGTCAATTTTGATGATTTAATAACTATATGTGTAATTCATAAAAACCGCCTCATGCTGATTTTGATAGATCGAAAGATGTAGTGGGACGAAAATAAAATAAGCCGAATATTAGACATTTTAATTTCGGTCTATAATCAATCGTTGTGTTGACAGAATATTAAAGTCAACATCATAAACATATATACGCATCTATATACATCTATACATGCATACAAACATTTCCCCTTGCCAATGCTCCTGAATATGAAAAATAAAATAAATAATTTAAAATTTTAGTTACACCCCTTCCTTCTACTTTACTGTGGCCTCCTCTTAAGGTCTTCCATGTCTGAGTTGGAGCATTAAGCAGTCAGTGCGGCTACAGCAAGCCGTGTACCAAGAATATCTATTGCTGGACAGGGAGTTGCTTCCTGCTGTGTGCGAAATGAACAAGTGTAATCTCTCTACGTCACACCCAGGATGTCCGCCCCAGGATATGCTGACACCAAGATATTGAATTCCAGATATGAAATGATAACAGTCTAACTTGTTCCACTTCTTCACTCTTTACGATTTCGGAGTGATTAGAATTTAATTGACATCTTCCATCAAAAGTTCCCAACTAGGTCTCGAATTAGGCCGCAGCACATAAAACGCGTTATCTTGTTTATATAGACCATGGTGAAAGGTAAATAGCAGTATTAATTATAAGATTTCCTACAGAACAGTGTAATTTTTATTCATATTAATCTACATTTTCTACAATAAAATGTTGCTCAGGACTTTTCTTGTAGTCTTCATATGGACAATATATTACGCGCTTGCATTGCAACCAACGTTAGACGGAGGGTTTAAGCCCTTCATATACTATACATGATACCAACTCCGTCTTCAGTGCAAACCATATATTATAGGTCTTTCGTTTTGCTCTCCCCTACACACTACATGTTTCGGCCACAAACGGCCATCATCAGGTGTATTACTCACGTATCTGTCACACTGCACTTAGTTTAACATTTAAAATTTAAAAACACAGGTCTTCCTGATTGTTCCTTTCGTCGTTATTACCAAAATCTACTTCGTTGATGTCTTTATTATTTACACACATCAATTTTGATTTCTCTGAATTAGCACTTATAAAATCTTCAGTTCTAATTTTAAAATCTTTTCAATTTTCCTCTAAATTTTAAAATTTAAAAATGTCAGGGTTACTCGCCCTATGTCTATAGTGCTGCAGCGGCTACTTCTTGTTTCTAGTACTGT